TGGGGGTGGCCAGACCAGGTGGGGTACAACAGGGGGGGTGATGGGGTGGGGAGGGAAGGCACAGCACCGGTGGCTGAGGGGGAAAGGCAGGCAGTGGGCAAGGTTTTGGGGGACATGGGGCGGTGGGAGGGGTACGTAAAACCCCCTTGGTGTTCGGGACAGCCTGGGAAAGCAGCATTGCCAAGCCCCGTCCCTCCGGCCGGGGAAGGCTGTGGAGTGCAGGGATGGGGATGAGGGGTTTGTGGAAGTGTCGTGTGTCCACACGATGGCACCAGACCCGGAGTGGTGTCCCCAGCCAGGGTGGCGTGGCAGGACCCTGTCCCCGGGCCTCAGGGCTGTGTGACCCCACGCCTTGGAGAGACGACGGCTTTTTTGGCAGTGCCCCACTTGTGGAGGGGGTTTAGGGTAAGGGCTGTGCAACAGCTCCCTGCCAGCAGCTCCTCGCAGCATCCCTCCAGCTTTGGATGCTCCTGCTTCTGCTCCAGGTATAAAAAAGGAGGGAAGTGTCTAAAACCTGGTCCTTGTTTCTCTGCTCCATCCCCTGGTCTCCTCTGCTGCCACTTCTCTCTACAAACCTCACCTGGCTCAAGTGTGCACAGAGCCACCCTGCCTGTCACACACCTCACGGCAGCAGGGGCAGAGCCTCCCACCTCCCCACCCTACCAGACAAAGCAGAGCCCCCTCCCATGGGAAGGAGGGAGGCAGCCGGTGGGGGAGGCAGATGCGAGGGAGTGGGGGGCAGCGGGACGGATCCTGCCCTGTCCTCGAGCAGCTGGCAGGGCACGTGGGGGTTGCTCAGCGGGGACCGGGATCCGTTGCTTGGGGTCTGGCAGATGAGGGCTTCGACCATCCTGTCCCATCCCACGGTAGCCTGGGCAAGGAGAAGGGCCAGGCTGGAAGGCCACCACAGAGGGCTTAGGAGTGGAATGACTGCGATAATGGCATCCCTACAAATCACCTCGGTTAAACCACATGCTATGCAAGGGTCCCAGCTGATCCTGCATGGGCTCAGCACCAGCAGGATTAGACCCCAAACCTCTCAGCAGGCAGCCAGGCTCTCCTCCATCCCCAGCGCAGCTCTATGCCCTGGACTGGTGACTGTGGGCCAGGATCCCCCTGCTCCTTCACCTGCTGAACTCTTCCCACAGGATATGGGGTCCTTCCTCTCCCCCCACTGCAGCCAGATTTTCCCCTGAGCCTCTCCCCATAAGGCAATGTGCATTAGTAGAGGCTGAGGCCTCTAGAGGGGACTTCAGGGAGCCCAGAGCAGTTTTGGGGTCCCTCTGAAGGAGCTCCCCCTTTGTCCATGTGCTTCAGCAGGATGGGGGCTTTCTGCTGCTCACAGCTTCACCTGCTGCAGTTTGCGTAGGCTCCGCAGGGAGTTTTCCTTGTTGGTCTCTGCAGTGGTCCAGGGGGTCCAACAGAGCAGCGATGCAGGCAGCACTCCCCGTGCCATCTGCAGGACAGGCATGTGCCCCAGATGAGGCTGCGAGCCCCCTCTATCCCCTGCTCCATCCCCCAGCCACAGCTCCAGCCAGACCCCTCATCTCCACGATTTTAGCAGACAAGCCCTTCCCTGCTCCCTCCCCAGCTGCCCCCCATGCTGGGGAGTCACCCAAGCTCCCCATCCCTGTCCCCATCTCCATCCCCTTCCTCCCCCAGGAGCCCTGCAGCCCCCCCAGCCCCAATAAGCTCAGCAGCTGTTTAACCAGTAGCAAGCCAAGATCCCGTCACAGCAAACAGCGTCTCGGAGCAGCCTCGCGCTCTTCCGTCTGCCTGCCTCCATCTGCCGGCTCTTGTCCTACATCTCGACTGGCAGCACCCTGTGAGCAGGGTCTGACCTTTCCCCGTCCCTCCCACTGTCTGTCCTGCCTATGCAGGACGGAGATTTGGCTCGAAGGTCTCTAAAAGGCTTTGGAAATGACGTGGAGGCTGGGGGCTTGCTGGAGCGAAGGAAGACACTGGGGGACACCCAGTCTGGCTGAACCCAGGGTTCCACCAAGAGATGCTGAGCTATTAACCCCGGGCAACCCCTTTCCCACTCAGCATCCTTAAGGAGGGCTCAGGCCGCATATCCCAGCTTTCCCCATCTCCCTCCATACAACCAAGCTGGCCGCTGCCCGCCCTGCGTGGCTCTCACAAAGTAGCTTAGACTAAATCCCTGGCCGGAGGACCCTGCTAATCCCCATGGCTTCATGGCCAGCAGGATGGCCAGCAGCGCTGGAGCAGGCAGCTTCAGGGATGGCGTGGCGGAGGGGCAGGGCATGTCCCCAGGGAAAAGGGGCAGTGAGCGGGCATGCTCACGGGTCCGCCGCTGCCAGCCCTGCGGAGCAAAGCCACCCAGCTGTGACCCTGCCTGGCCCAGCCACAGTCCCAAAGCCAGCGGCAGGAGGGGAGCAGGGATTTGTGCCTGGGAAGGAGCAGCTCCATCGCTTTCCACGAAGCAAATGTCAGGGCTTAGGAATAAATCGTGTCCAGCAGGAATGTGAGCTGCGGGAAATGTAAAACCCGCAGCCTCCCAGCAGCCACGGGGACTGGGACTGGAGCGGAAACTGGACTGCTGCTTTAGCACCGGTGCGTGGCCAATGCCGCCCTGACAGGCCCCATCGTCCCCAGCCCACCCCGGCCCACCCATGCCCCACTCCTCACGGAGCCCAGCCCCACCGCTGCCCGTTTCCACGGGAAATGCAGTTCCCCGTTGAATGAGAGGACGTTGCCGACGCGGGCAGCTTTTCCGCCAGGATTTCTAAAAATAACAACTCAGGCCGAGCCAAAAAAAGCTTTATTTTCCTTTTTGCACTGTTTTAATGCGAAGCTTTTGCTGTTCCCCCGGGAGGACACACACAGCCCCCCCGCCGGCGCCCGCCCCCCCCCCCGGGCGGG